CATGATCCGGCAGGTTTAACGTCCTGGAGGTTGAAATCCCTGGAATAAGACTGATCATTTGGCCGAAAGGCAAGAGTAACGGAGAGCACATGCGTCTTTAGTGATCCCACAATCCACTCCCAGTGTTTGGAAAGAGCCTCTGGCGAGAGAACTCCCCGAAAGCCCAATGTGATGGGAACTTCGTCCATGAGGACGTGCTTGCCTTTCCCTTTCACCTCCAGGAACTTCTTCAACTTGTCGATGTCAGCCTCCAGGTCCTCCCCTTTCTCGTTAACCACATGGATCTTTTCCTTCCCTGATAGGACAAACATACTCGATGTAATTTCATTCTTTGTACACAAACTTCTAATGGAGTCATCCATAAAATCAAAAGCACTTTTTCACCACATGGATAATCATTCTAAGTTCATGTCAGTGTCTTAATTTCGGAAAAAACCTATTTGAACATACATGAAAGTGCATAGCAGAAAGTGAGGTATACAATGTTGATGTGGACTGATATTTGCAGAAACAATCAATATTAGAAGTTGAAGAGGAAACAACTTATTCGTTAATTCCATTTCGCTTGGGTGGGTAATTTCGAGAATTTTGCCTCAGCTTAGGTCTATGATCATTCCAAGAACTATCACCCTTTTCTACATGAAGGCTTAGTGTCACGTTTTTTCATCTTCCCTGAAACGTTTTGAAATTCCCAGCGGGCGTTCGCATTTCGAATCCTAATAATAATTCCAAATTCGTTCAATTAAGCATGCACTTGTTTTGTGGACATTTTCATTTTAAAGAGAGATTTCAACATACGCGTTCACATTTCATGATGCGTTCTTCCAGTATGACGAAAAACCGAGACATATAAAGTTAATATAGTTATGCTTTCCTGCTTGGCAACGACGATATGAGGAAACAAGGCGATGGATGTCTGCAGGCTTTATACTGGTAAACATATATTCGACATGACGTAAAGTATCCTGTCTGACGAAGCGTTTTTCCGTCTGGCATAATAATTGCCAAAGAGAAAAGAATAATGCGGTCCCACCCTCGAAGTCGCGCCGGAATTCTTCAGTCAGGAGTCCTCCAGCGATATTGATCACCAATACTTCGTCTTTCTTCGCCAACTCAATGGCCCTCCTCTTCAAGACGATCGTCTTCCCCGTTCCGCTAGCACCAGACAAGAGAATGACCGGTGAAGAGCGATTCACCAGGTCCCTCTGCTGGGGAGTGAGGAGCAGGAGCAGCGGCTTCATCTGCTTCTCGCTCTTGGCGAACAACTGAACGGGATTGCGGGGGAGGTCCACCGCCGATGCGGCGCAGATGTAGAAGTCGAAGATGTTCTTGAAGGTGTCCGCGAGGGAGGACTCGGGGTCCGTGGGTTTCTTCAACACGATCCAGTATCTTTCCA